TGGAAGGAAACGCAGTTCTTTCACCGTTGCTGATAAGTTCGTCAATCAGATTATTGTAGAACTGTAACCCCTTTGAGTTGATAGGTCCTCTTCCATCTGTAAAAACGACAGCAGAAATCAGGTTCGTATTACAAGGAATGAAGTAAAGAGAGAGAGATTCTTGATATATAATGTAACAAAATGCAGGGTAAAAATTATATACACGGAATGAGTCTTGACCACGATATAGAGATTCTGAACGCCTCTAGGCTCTTGTCGACCATTAGTTTGATATCTTCCTGTTAAAAAAATAAAAAAATAAACCCGAATATTAAGAAGTTAAAAACTTCACTGTGATATATGTATGTGTGTGTGTGTGTGTGTGTGTGTGTGTGTGTGTGTGTGTACATATATTTGTGTGTTGAAGGTATAGAGACCTTATATTTGTGATATCCATCACATGCTACGTCTCCATTGGCCCCCGTTGTACGACCTGAGAATTAGACAAGACATTGATAATAGTGTGCATTAAATAACCAGAGTTAAAATCTAACTTAACCATGGAAAATGATTGGTAGGAAAGAAAAGATAAAAAAAAGGACAAAATGAGTGATTAGACCAGAATGAGAAAAGGTGTCCCAAATGCTAGGAGTTCTGCCATCATCAAATGCTGCTCCCTCGTACTTCCCACATGCATCACATCACATACTATATACATCAACTTTCTATTTATATTTCTAGTCACACAAAAACAAATTAAAGTCTAAGCATTTGATTGCATAATCCGTTCATTATTTTAACTCGAAGCGTACGTTGTTCAAGATTGTTTGAATTTTTATCGAGCTTGATAAGCGATATGGGTCGAGTTTTAAATCGAATTTATAAGCTTGTGAGCTTGAGATCGAGCCTGGTTTTGGTAGCTTATCGAACGAAAATATGTGTTCGAGTTTGGTTACTTTATTATAACGAACCATCTCAAATCGAGTAGTCTGGTTTGATTTTAAGGTGTACGGAAATAAAAGAAAAGGAGAAGAAAAAATAAACCAACTTGAGGTGCGGCAGTTCCGGAACCGAAAATGAAATCCTCCGGAAAATCAGCTCTGCTGTAATGATCTAATCCGAGAATCGACGTCGCTAAATGCAACAGCAGCAGCAGAAGTATTTGAGTTACGACTAAGGAACTGAGCTTCACCATTGTTACACAAATTTTTCCTTGGTTAATTCTCTCTCAGGCGTTTATTCAAACACCTGATCTTCTAGCAATTAATTGGTATAGAAGATAATGAACGCAAGGCTGTTATTGCGTGGTTTTATTTTCTGAAACGTTATTCATTTATTTATTCATATAAATTGCAACTTGCAATTATTATAAATCATTGAAAAAATCTCTGAGAATGTCAAATTGCAGTAGTAAAATTTTAGTTTAAAAGAATTAAGATATTTATATATCTTTCAAAGTATCTTTTGAAACACACTAAGGGCTATTTTGGTTGGAGGGATATGGGCTGATGGATCTTCCAATCCAGTGGGTTTTTCCTAGTTGAGATTATAGACTCGAATTTATGTTTTTGGGGGTGATTTAAGTATGGGGTGATTAGTTGAATATTCTTCTTTAGATCTCGGTAATTAGTTTTAAGAACACCAGTAAGTGTAATTAAGATTAGATTAAGAAAGAGAAAGTGAATATTATCAAGAGTAAGCAAGTAGAACAAGTGAAGCATGTTTGAACCTCAAACTCTGCTGTTTCTTAACAGTGGAATTATTTCTGGACATATATATATTATACACTTTCTATTCATTGTTATGCCCTTCTGAGTGGGTGCTAGCCACGAATGAGTTATGCAATCGTTACTAAATGGGAAACATTTTTAATTGAAATTGCAGGAGAACGGTTTATTACACGTGCCTAAGGGCCAAGCTCAGAATCCACAGGCACAGATGTTCTCCGATCCAACTTCCAATTTTCTCTTGTATCTACTTCCCTTTCGGTTAAGGTTTATCTACTAATTGTGAAAACATTTCACGTAGCTTTTTGTGGGAAATGATTAAAAGGAATTTGTTTCGAGTTTTCTTTTTCAAGAATTTGCTTTCAAGGCTTAGGTTTTGTTAATTGTAGTGTCTGCATATAATTTTGGGTAGTGCTAATTGCGTAATAGTTCATTTATAGAAGAAGGAATTATAGAACTTTTGATTTAAATAATGTATAATTTGTTTCAAGAGTTGCAGTTGATGTCATTCTCTATAGGGAATTCTTTAGATCTTTTTATATCTCACTTTAGGGATGCTGACACGTGTGTTGCATTTGTTCATATGTACTCGGGTTCACCGAGCATGACTAAGGTGACAAAATTGATGTTCTTGTGAAGGCAAGAGAACTTAAGTGTCAGCTTCTCGTCTTTGCATGGTTACTGGTTTAGTTGTCTTATCATTGTAGGTGAGACTGATATCTGCAGCTTCCAAGCTTTTGTTTTGCCTTGTACATGCAAAAGACAGAAAATGGGGTTATGGTTTGAATGATCCTCGAAGGTCGCTCCTTCGGATAGGTAGACTACCATCCACTCACAAGGCGAAGAAGTTTTCCGTGTTCGGACCCCATTTTGCGGCGTTAATTATATTTAAGACATTTTATTTCTTCTTTAATTTAATTTTGTGATTGACATTATAGTAGTCCACTTGTGTGTCACAAATATAAATTTTCTGTAATATGGCATATTATTTTACGTAAATTTTCTACAAGTATTTCTTGAAGTTTCTGTTAGTTTGGAGCTAAAATGTCTAATATGGCTTCCAAAAAATTTTGTTATATATATAATGACATCTAACTGTTATATTAATGTTCATTTTTCCAATAATAAACACAAATTATAAATTACAATACAGTAGAATGGGTGGTGCAACCAATATTTTACAAATTGACAGGTGCAAGTGGTGGTAATGTAATCATCCGAATATGTTAGGGCACAAATTGACAGGTGCAAGTGGTGGTAATGTAATCATCCGAAAATGTTAGGGCTGATTTTATAATTACAGGAAAATGGGAGGAAATAATGGGTGGTGCAACCAATATTTTACAAAGTGCCAGGTGTATTATATAATAATATAAAGGGCTTGCAAGGGGTGGTAATGTAATTATCCGAAAATATTAGGGCTGATTTTATAATTAAAGGAAAATAGGAGGAAAGAATGGGTGGTGCAAGAAATATTTTAAATACTGTCAGGTGTATAATATAATAATAATAAGGGCTTGCAAGGGTGGTAATGTAATTATCCAAAAATGGTAGGGTTGATTTTATAATAAAAGAAAAATGGGAGGAAAAAATGGGTGGTGCAAGCAATATTTTCAAAATTGACAGGTGTATAATATAATAATAAAAAGGTTTGCAAGGGGTGGTAATGTAATTATCCGAAAATGTTAGGGCTAATTTATTAATTAAATGAAAATAGGAGGAAAGAATCGATGCAGCAAGCAATATTTTAAAAATTGACAGGTGTATAATATAATAATAAAAAGGGCTTGCAAGGGGTGGAAATGTAATTATCCAAAAATGTTAGGACTGGTTTTATAATTAAACGAAAGTGGGAGGAAGAATGGGTGCAGCAAAAAGTATTTTAAAAATTGGCATGCGTATAATATAAAAATAAAAAGGCATTTCCAGGGGTGGTAATGTAATTAACCAAATTATCCCACCCAATCCTCCTAACCATTCCTGAGTTTGCCTGTTCGGATTCAATCCCACATATTCGTATCCAACCAACCCAACCCGAGATACCATCCATATTTTACGAATCCATACAGTGTATTTGCAATATGAACCCCCAATCCCATCCCAACCCTTCCCTCCAACCAAAAGGGGCCTAAGCATATGCATGGAAGGAATTATTTAGATTTTGTGTTACAATTTAATAGTACAGTATTTTAAATTCAATTCTAATTTTAATTTTAAAAAGTTGTCTACAACCCAATATTGAAATGAAATGTTTATGAAAATATATTTACTGTTAATTATGCATTTCATTTTCAATTGAAGAATAAATGAATCACGATTACAATTTCAATTTAAAGAAAAGAAAAAAAAACCGATTATTAGGGCATCTAATTTAATAAGTCAGATGCAATAAATTCAAATCTGAAATTCCAACAACCCCAGTAGCAGTATTATTGCCACCAAAGGATTGCAATGAAATAACAGCTAAAACAACAAAAGAAAGACATCTATCTATTAGTATTATGACCAACGGATCTCTGTTGAATAAATATTTCAGAAAAATTACAATTAAGGATTTATTATTCAATAGTTAAATATATATATTACATGTGTCGATCTCGAACCAAGCAAGAACGAATTTCTTGAGTTGAAGAATTAATATTAATGGCAGGAAGACCAACAATTTTATGGAAAGAAACACGACAGAAAATAAAGGAACCGAATATTCTCCGATTTCTATATCATCGTTACAATTTACGGCAATGGGAACTCGATACAATCTCAACATCAAACCGAAAAAGTTCAAATGTTAACTGATATAAAATACTAAGCATTATCACCAGGTGATCGACCAGTTTATACAAATACTACTAAATAAGCGATACGAAACGATAACGATAACGATAACGATGAAGCCGTTAATTAGATAAAACAAAACGTTCGGAAACAATCAATTTATCGGACAAACGAAAGCTGAAGATTGCAGCATTGTTCAAGTGTACAAAGGCCAATCGGTCCATGCTCCCGAAACATGGCCGTTCTCACAGACATATGCTCGAACAACTGGCTCGCCATCATCGTGGAACCCGAAATACCTCCTCAAACAAAACGACGAGTGCAAATCCCACGTGTGTTCAGCTGAGCAGAACGCGCAATTCAATTCGATTTTGTTCCGGCTCCCATCGTTGATCGTTCTCCAAACCCTAGATTGCTTGAAATTCTTGAAAACCCCTCTAAACAGCATGTAATTCCTCTTCTCCTCAACGTGTATGCATCCAGGCCAATCGCAAATGTAGAGACAATCACCCTTGAATCTGCTCGCAAGCAGCTTGTTGCCCTGCTCGCGGCTCAGATTCCAAACCCCCGACGCCAAGTGGGACCTATGCGGACGACAGATCTTCCTCTTTTTGGAAACGGCGAAACCGGGCTTCGCATCTTCCGTCGCCGTAGCTTCTTCGGGCCGGGCTTCCAGGGTTTCAGCCCGCTCCTTCGACACCGTCTCGGAATCGTTGTACAAGGTGTCGTACATTAGATCGTCGTACAACGACCATACGCCGTCGTGTACGGCAACAGCCGACGATTCACCGTCGTCGTTGCTTGAGGAGGCAGCTTTCCCAGATTCGTTCGGTCGGAACAGTATATTCCGCTGGAAATTCTCGTCGGGGCCGATTTCACGTTCGAGGCCGAAATCTGAGTTTTCGAGGAGGACGCCGGAGTGGAGGAGGCCTGGGCAGCAGACGGCGAGCTTGTAGAGAGACGCCCAGAATCCAGGAGGGGAGGTGGGGTTGAGGAGATCGGAAACAACGGCGGGGATCGACTCCGAGCATTTGGATTTGCAACAGACGGTTCGTATCAAAGAGGCGAATTTGGTGGAGACGCAGGCGATCCGAGCCCAGCTCCGGGGATCTTCCTCGAGCTTGTACAGTATGTTGAGAACGACGTCGTCTGACAGCTCCGAGAAACCGATTTCGTACATTTCTAAGAGATTAGCACCGGAATATTCGATTTTCCGATCAAATAATCGGAGAGAAATGAAATAATTAAAGAGGGCAAAGAGTATGTGGTGGGCTGAAGAGTTTCGTGGACCTGTAATTTTCATGTCCTTTTATTTAATTTTTTTTTAAGAATTTCAAAATATGTGACGTGGCAAAATGTGATTTGAAAAAATAATTAGAATTAGAGGTTAAAAAAAAAAAAAAGAAGATATTGACGGTTCTCAAAATTGATAGAGCCACATTGGGACCTTAAAAGTGGGGCCCACAGACTCAAACTGAATTGTAACCACATAATGAAGAGACACTTTACATCACCACCAATTTATCACATTCAATTTCTTACAACCACAAAATCCCACGTGCCAGCGCAACGTGCTTGTCCCTAACAACAAGTACTTTCATCTTGTCTCCATTTATCAACTAGGGTTTGAGTCGAACACAGTTCCTTACTTTATTTCCAACAATTGAAATATAATCAAAATGTATTTATTTTCTTTCAATTAAAAACCAAATATATATTGATTTTACCACCACTCTCTTTCATTCAATTTATGAAATAAAAATAAAAAATATTAATAATAATAATAATAATAATATCATCCAAGGTTCTATGGATTAGAATATTTGCACCACAAACCGAGAAACTGAGAAAACGAACCAACGGGTTTGCTAGTGCAAAACGGTTCCTGTTTTCGGTTTTTCATTCGATGTTTTGGTGTTCTTTGCTCACCCCTACCATCATGTCCTAATCTAGTGGCCGCTAAAAATAGCGCGATAGGATCAACTAAACAACAAGCTCGAGAAAACGAGATCTAAAAGTCAATACGAAATATATATGACGCAAGCGGTTTTTAAGTCCTTGAAACACAGTTCAGGTAGTGCAAATTTTAAGATAATAAAGTCTTTCACAGAGAAAAAGAAAAATACATATAAAATATAACCCCCATAGGCATAAACAAGAAATCCAGCGATTCGACCATCATCTGTAATGCGAAATAGATGAGCCAATTTTACCTGTTTAAACGAAATGAGGAAAGACAAAATAACTCAGCAATAAAAACCAAGAAATATTTGAAATCCGGACTTCATAGTTTAGACTAATGAGCAAAATATATAGAGAAGGGGGAAAAAACCTGGAAACACTCCTGCTTCGACTTTTGCTCTTGCTCTTGCTCCTGCTTCGGCTTCTGCTTGGACTGCGTCTTTTTGGGCTCTTACTTGCACGTTTCTTATGCTGAAATTTGTCAGATCAAAAGAAGAAAGACGAAGATAAAAACATACAGATACAAAATTGCATCAGATATGCCCACATTTCAAATCAATTAACACCGGAAAAAAAAAAAAAAAAAAAAAAAAAAAGAGAGAGAGAGAGAGATACAACTTGGCAATTGAAATAAAGACTGAACTTACAGATAATTTCGGGGATCTGGATCTTGAAGGAGATCTGCAAAAGTTCCAGAACAACCGAGTTTAATATCCACTTGTGCCTCTTAACAACTTTTTGATCCAAGAGCCTTGTTGCCACTTCCACGTCAGAGTGACCGTGACCAAAATGGATAAGAGGAAACTCATAAACATTTAGCAAACATACGAGGCCAAGAAACAAGGAACATAGAGGGGAAGAAAGCTGCTTAGATTTAAGAAGAAACAAAACCTCGATACCGAAAGAATAAAAAAAACACCCTGTCTTCGCCTAAACAAGAAACAGCCTTCGATTTAAGCTCCAAGATTTGAGAAAAATTAAATGGGAAAAACAGATCCTAAGCTTAAAAATATGCAGAGTAGACCAATTATCTGTAAATATAAATAACTTCTTCAGCAAACAATATGCTTAGTAAAATCATTAAATGAACCAAAAATCTGATTTGGTCATCATTCAGAATTCAGAAAGCAAACTAATTGCATGATAATAGATATAAAAGGAAAGGATGTGCATCTTCTGCAACCAGACAACCAACCAACAAAATACTGTACCTTGACAAAGACCGTGGTTTTGATGGAGAACGAGACCGCGAAGATACAGACTTTGAACGAGATCTTGAGCGGCGTGTCGATTTTCCTTTGGGAGACTTGCTGCAAGTAGATATATTAAATTGATTATGGTCTCATCGACAACAGATATTACCACTAAATCAAAAAGAAAAAAAATGAATCACATTCACAACATAAGAGCATTCGACCTTCTGCTCCTGCTCCTGCTATTACTCAGACTTCTGCTCTTGCTTCTACCATTGCTCCTTCCCTTAGAGTAGGAAGGGCTACGGCTGCGACTGCGACTTCGACTTCGACTTCGACTACTAGAACGGCTTGTATATTCCTTCACCTAATAGAGATTAATAATTGATGTTAAACAGATACAAGCAATTGTAGTGGGGAAAAGGAAATAAACAGCGGCATACACTTAAGCATTGAGTCTTACACGAATTCTACCCCGTGAGAAAGCATTTCGGAACTCAGAATCATCGAGCTTCTTGATCTACAAGGGTCGAAAAGGAAAATCATAATATACCAGATTAGATAAGCAGAAAAGTAAATTATGATGGCTTACAGCATATCTCATGTCATCGGAATTTGTGTAGTCCACTATCCCTGTCTTCCCTGCAAGCAAAAAAAATCACATATGGTTTAACAATCCTCCGCCACAACTAAGCAACGATATTCCAATTTCAAGCCTTCACGAAATATAACCAGTGTGACAAAGCCATGAGATATTTAGAGTAAGAACCATGAAGGTGCAGCAACAGGACTACGACCACAAACATCATAAACGGTGATAAAAATACATTATAAACTGGAAATCGGCAAAGGGAATGTGCCATCACTTAATTGGTATAACCCGAAGAACTTTCATCAGGATTCTTTCAGCACAATCATACTGCCTAATACAAATATGTGAATGAAAATATCTAGATGTAATGTTTTCAAAGAAGTAGATGCTAACACAAATGAAAACCATTAATCTTTGCAGTACTATTTCACTCACAAAATAAGCCCCATGGCATTAGAAAGCCCACAAACGAAGCTGCCAACTCGTTCCGAGTTAAAGTCAGAGTTCGACATGGCAAGCTTATACCCTCTAAATTGGTGGATCCTTTTGATTTACCAGTGATGATTAATTAAATGGAACCCCCAAACACACTAAGGGTGTTTAAAGAGTGGATACTCAACTACATGCCACAGGCACACAGATAATATTGCCGACTAGTAATTCTAAATAATGTAAAAATTGTTCAGTGTTGCACAGGTATAAACTAGACAAAAGCTTACCACTCCCTTCATGGAAAACTTGTGAGAAGCAAACATCCCCAGCTCGACGCATATGATCCTAGATTGAAAACAGAGTAATTAGATTAAATCCGAAATTATAGCTGGGCAATATGGGGCGTCAAGAAAGTGATTCTTACCTTGAGATCTTGCCATGAAGCAGAATTAGGCAAGCCAGTGATTAAAACTGGAAGACAACAATTTAGCAAAATGAGACAATTGCAGAAATTTAAAGATATTTACACATATATAACATTCACGTATGGAAAAATGTATCTACCTCTGTATTCTGAGCGCCTAGACACTCCACCGCGGGGACCCCGACTGCTTTGACGGTCTGTAGATGAAGAGTTTCCGCGCCCACCGTGTGCAAGCTCAACCTGGGTGGTCAAAGATCCCAAGTCAATATAACATAGTCAATCAATAGGGGCAAAAAGGTAAGTATTGCAAATTAAAAAAAAAAAAAAAAAAACCAACCCGTAGGCGATGCCTATGGGAATCATAGCCATCTCGCCCTCGAATGGCATCTTCAGCATCACGAGCCTCCTCAAACTGTTAGGAAATTTATGTTCAAAGACTCCATACTACGAAAAAAAGGCACACAAGTAAATTCAAAACTTACTTCAACGAAAGCATAACCAGGAGGCCTCGGAGGGATTTTCAAATCAATATGAACAATTGGTCCATACTGCAAGCAAATGGATATTACAGTATTAGTCTCTGACTTATTCAACCGAAAAAATCAACTATACAAAATGTCAGAGGTAGACTTTACGATGTCATTCAAAACACAACTTGGGAAATTTTGGCTCGTAGTCCAAACCACCACCACTCCAAACCCACCACAAATGTGTGTTTTACGGTCAATGAATAAAGACTGGGTCTATACTCTATCGCTTAGACTGACACCATAGCTAAATTTTATTAGTATACTACACTTAAAACGATTAAAGTGACCAGCATCAGGATGTTAGACGTCTAATATTAAATATTCTACAGAGCTGCATTCGATTTTTTGTTAGAGATGAAAATGCTACAAAATTCCGTTCCTGCTTTTGAATCGAAACTTAAAAAGTAATACTACTACTACCAGTGTAATTTTCCGGCGGTACTTGTTGAGTTCTAATCCTAATTCATTTGAATCCCAAAATTGCAATTATCCAAGAAAAAAACACCGTCGGAAGAAATCAAGAACAAAATTATCAAACAAATTCAAATAGAGGGAGAAGGTTAAGTTGAAACTTAATCAAAATGAACATGTATAACCTTGTAGAAAAGATCTTCCACTTCTCGCTCCCGAATATCACCGGGGAGGTTACCAACATAGAGAGTTCTGCTAGAGCGACTCATCCTTGCTACAGAAAATCAAGCCAAAAAATAATAAAAAATAATAATAAATAAAAAAGAAAAATAAAGTAAGAGTACATAATCTACATGATTACAATTGCAGAAAACAAAATCAATGAATATGGCGATAAAGATTGTCTCCGGGAGGCTGAAATTGGAGTTTACCTTGAAGAACAGACGACGGAGAAAATTAACCCAGCTTAGAAACGGACCGGATGGTGTCGAATCAGAATATTCTAGGGTTTTGAATTGATGGGGGGTGAGGAAGCGAGAGGGGTAGTATGGGAAAGTGTAATGTAAACAGAGCCGTTGTACTTGCCAAATGTAATACGGTCGTCAGAGAATTTACTTTAATCGTTTACGGTGATGGATAATTCCATTTATTTAGTTAAATAATAATATCATAATTATGTACAAATATTTTATTTTTTTCGTAATTTTCACATTTTTCATTAATAAAATAAACTTAAATTCTTCTTTTTTTCTAAAATTAAATTCATCCTTGAAGTTTGCACCCATTTCACATTTGGTCCATCATGTTCACAAAAAACACATTTGATCCCTCGTGTTTCAAAAGTTCAACATTTTTAGTCTTTTTTGTCAATTTTCCGTTTAAACTAACGGAATCAAGCGTTTTGTCAATTTTCCGTTTAAACTAACGGAATCAAGCGTGTGCCCATCACCTACTTAACTGACGGACTAATGATAAATTGATAGAAATGACAAAAAATGTTAGATTATTGAAACATGAATTATTAAACGTATGTTTTGTGAACATGGGGGACCAAATGTGAAATGGGTGCAACTTGAGGGATAAAAACTGTAATTATCCCCTTTTTAATGAAAATTTGGTACCACAAAATTATATTTGTGACAGAGAATCTTCAAACGAGTTAAGGTTAACAAAGTGAACAAACAAAAGCATCTCTCAGTGCCAGAACAAATGGCAAGTATCCATACAACAAAAAACATACACCTGGTCGGGTTTTTTCCGGCAAATATCCATTCTTCAAGCTGCGAAATACATTCTTGTATTCAACATTCCACAGCACATAAATACAACTGCTTCGTGTTTTTTTTTATTTTCAAGAAAGATCGAAGAAAACAAATTACTTCCAACCCCTATTTTCACTCAATCGAACGAAGATAAAAGTAATGATTCTCAGTGATGAACATCAACCCCACCTCCCTTGGCCTTCTCTGCAGCTGCTCTCAGTTGACGCTGCTCCTCTTTGTAGACTCGGTTCCTGCGCTGAAACTGCAATAAATGCAATACTATTAAATAAAGGATATTTAATTGTTGTTATCATGTCCAGGTGATGAAAAGAGACATGCAACATTTTTTTTCCAAAAAGCTGAAAATCGTATGTTCATGTGATCTTTACCCAACCTAATCGAGATACGTGTTTATGTCATCATGCAAATGGTTGTTAATCGATCAACATGCTAAGCCTAAAAGAAGATATCTCATTTTTTTACCGCTAACTGCAAATTTATGTCAGCGGGACAACATAAGTGAGATGGACTAAGGAAAATACGTGTGCTGTCTCAAGGCAGAGCCTAAAAGTTCTTGAACTAGCTAAGTTATCAATTTATTTTTCGTTTTTTTCAGATATTTTCCGCTTAGTACTGTGCTAATCTTATCGGGCATCAGGAGAACAGGCAAACTGAAGAGCACCATCGTTTAAGCACTCTTCTTATAATATTAAAGGCTAACATGCAGCTTTCTCCAGTAGCAATCAAATTGCAACCCTCCCTTAAAAAAATTCATATTTAGAAGCCCCGTAGTTTTGAAATGTTCAACTAGCCCCATATTATCTATTTGGAAAATCCGAAATCTTTCACAACATAATATTCTTGAAGACTTAGGCTTAGTTAGAGATCATTACAAAGGTTAAGGAGAAAGACAACAATTTCGAATATATACACTTGTTCTAGAATCATTAAAAAAAAAAAAAAAAAAAAGGTACTGCTGATCGCTATCCCACTTGTTCGGATAGGAGGTTTCAACTATCTCAATAAGTGTTTGTCTCGAAATCGTTAAAATCCTTCACATAACCAATAGAACGATCTTTAACAACAACATCACGACACTTCTTCTATAGTTTTCAATCGGTTGTGATAACTACATATGGGCATAGAACACCTAGACACAACAGAAGTATAGTACAATACTAAAACCACAACACTTTCGAACTCCACCATTCTGTTTCTGTAAAGAGTGAACCTACCATTTCCGTTTACTCTCAAACTGATTAAACCATAATCCTTTGTTATTGCAAATTGTGCATTCTGAATATCGACTTCTAAAACGTTATCTCAATTTGGTTTGAATCAGCTTCAAACCACATTGTTTATTCAGGATCAGACTTAATTACTAACAGAAATACAGAAAATATATAATTAAGGCAGCTGGCTTTGTATTTGGAATTTTGGATCCTTATAATCGAATTTGTTAGAGTGAGAACCTATTCAAGTTCATTCCTTAAGGGTTTTCATTTCATTTCAAGTGACAACCAATCAATTCGCAGATAATTCATACATTTAAATACGAATTTCGATTCCAATTTTATCAAATAGAACATCAATTTGAATTTCATAACCAAACAAACCCCATCCACCCAAAAAAAAAAATTGAAAAAAAATAAAAGTAAAATTACAGCTCCACAAGCACAAAATAGAACTGGATCGGAAAATTATAATCGAGAATCATTATGGAGAAGAAGGAATACCTCTTTGGAATGGTTGAGACACTCGAAATAATCTTCACGGAGGAGTGTGCAATCCTTGGGCTCGCGGCAGCGGGACATGCATTCACTGAAATCCATCCAGAAATCATAGCACCGCCCCTTGTTTCCGGTTATCCCCCATCCCGACGCCATTTTACCTGTTTCTCTCGAGCTCTCTAATTTCTATCTCTAGACTACTGCTCTGTTGGACTCTGAATTTGGGGGTTGTTGCGTGCGTGCCTCGTTCTTTACGGATGGTGCCGATCCAGGGGTCAAACTGTGAATATTGAAAATTGAGTTGCAGGACCAAAATTACCAAAATACCATACACAAACTCCGTTTATCGTTTAAGTAAATGGGTAAAATTCATTTTGCACCCCTGTACTATGTAAAAGGTATCATTTACCCCCCTAATGTATAGAAAACATCAAACACCCCCTATTTTTAACGGTCAATGGTCAAATTTTTAACGGTGTTAAATTTTGAGTGTGCAATGACTCTTTTACCTTGTTTTTATGTTTGATATAATTCTTAACTTTTTCTAGGCATATTTTTTGTGGATTGTTGACGATTTCTAGCGTTCGTTCAAATTAGGGCTTCTGTCGATTTTAGAATTTGATTTTATTTTTGGTTTTCTTTTTCGAGGATTTTTGCATTATAATATGAAAAGCTTTGTTTTTAATTTGCAATTCTTTCATATGGTTTTATTTCAATTTTAGGTTTTCATTTAGATTTCAGAGCTTTTAGTTTTCCCTTTTGTGGGTTTTACATTCATAATCTGTAACGCTTCATTCTTATTTATTCGACTATTCAGCTTCTTTATAAGAAAAATGGCTGAAAATGTTAAAAAAATGATTGAATAAAGTGAAAACAAAGGGCAGAATAAAATGAAAAATCCGGTGAACATTTGTCAAAACGAAGCATCCTATATGTAGAATTTTTTTTGGGTATTTTCGTTAAAAAAAAAAAACCAACATTTCTTTGCAATAGTCGGTCAAAGGGTTTGACTAACGGAATTAGAAAAAAAAACTAACGGCAGGGGGGTGCTTGGTGTTTTCTATACTTCAGGGGGGTAAATGATACATTTCGCATAGTACAGGGGTGCAAAATAAATTTTACCCTAACTAAAATGACGTTATTTTAATTAGGGTATATTACAACCAGCCCCTGAGGTATTGTTAAACTCTTGTTTTAATAATTACATCTATTTCCCTCAACTATGAATCTTTTTACATGAATGCGAATATATAATAACAAATTAATAATATAAAAACTATTCTTGAAATAACAGAGATGTAATAGTATATTATACATATTGATTGAAATTTTTGTATCAAATACGTGAATTGTATATTACGATTGAAAATAGAAAATTAGTATCACGACGGATTATTTTTAATTTAGACATTGGTCTCGTAAAACACCTAACGATGATAATGATAATGATGCAAGTGAACAACATAAAACGCAATAAGTGACAATGCAATGTATGTATGCAGATAGAAATGCACATTTTTTACAAGGACTTTGGTGCATCTGATTCACTTCGTAACAACACACGCAATGAGATTGACGATAATATAACAATCGCAAAGTGGAAAAGAAATCGGAAGGCAAGAAGAAAGGTAGATAACCAACACTCTACATCTAATCCAAATCTTGAAAACATTTTACATGACAATGAGATAAACGGTGCTTAAGAACTCCATCCAAGTACTTTACGATCAAAAGGCAACTTTGGAGGCGAAAATAACAAAACACGAAGAAGAAGCCCTTTTCAAAGAAATAGATTGTCAGACCAACTTTTGATATCATATCACAAACCCAACCTATAGAAAATAAACAAGGAGAACTCAAGAAGATGATGGAGTCGAATGCACAAGTGCAAATTCAAATCCACAACAATGTCATCACGATTCACGAGCAAACTCTCTTATAAATTTTTTTTGATTGATATGAATAACAATTTATTTCAGATTTGTCTCCAAATTTTCTTTTGATACTCCGTGCATTTTATTTACGTTGAGAATATAAAATTAGTGAGATCGTGAAAGGCAAGTAAACAATATGCTACTTTGTAACCGATTCTAAAAAAGCGTTTCTAGGTATTTTAAATAGGCTAGAGGATATGTCAAAATTTTACATAAAATTGTGAGTATCAATCACTAAGAATGTAATTAATCTCTTTGATAATTAGTGCAATTCCTTAAAATAGTCAACATAGTCAACGGTAAGAAATGTATAAAACTACGTACAAACCCGTGCGCAAGAAAGCGGGAAGTGTCACATTTAGTACAAGGTATAATAAAGGAAAAGAATCAGCGTTTACTCTATACAGTGGCCGTCTCTCTTTCTCTCTCTCTCTAGACTCTCGCGTGCTCCGAGGGTTTCTGTGGGCGTTTTACTGTTGCACGATTTCGATTGTCGGAATCCGCGCGTGTTCAATGGCGTCATCTCCGACGTCATCATCCTCCTCGTCACTGGCGGCGCCGTCTTCGTCGAATTTCTCCCAGCTTCCGGTGATGGGGATGAGGAAAAAAATCGTCGCAAAAATTTTGGAGAATCGCGTCACCCTCATCGTCGGGGAAACGGGCTGCGGTAAGTAATTTCCCCCCCGGTTTTGTGAACTGCTATCGATTTAATTTCACTCCGATTCCTCTTTGAATTTTGATCCATGTCTTTTTTTTTTTTATGGCATTTATCTTATTCGCTGAATCAGTGAAACTTTTGTTCTTCTGGTCTAATTAAACATATGCTTTACCCTTGGAGTTCGTCGAACAAATCCTCATTTTAGATTTGATCTTTTACATGGAACGATTCGGCAGAGAATGCAGCTCGTTCAAATCCTCATGACTTGTTTTTCTGTTAATTAGCAACAGGTTTTTTGTTTTGTTCATTTGTAATTTTGGTTGCTTGGTTAGGCAAATATTTCACCTCCATGGACTGTTTTGACCTGGTCTTCGTCAATACTATTATTCTTTTCGCGACATGAACCACGTGGAAATTGACAATTGATTTATGTGATGAAGTCGAGTGTATGTTTGCTTACTAAATATTTATAGAAAGCATACCTAAGAGTATAAGGGAGAATTCATTATAGACAACCTCATAAATGCGTAGTGGACACGTCATAGGTCTAGGGCTAATTCTAATTCATGAATGTCGGCGTCATCATCGAGCTGTTTGATCCAAGATGTGATCATATCTGTTCGATCTGAGCTACTTTATTTATACCCATCAATATAACGAAAATTGATCGAATAGATAAATGGTCCAAACCGATGATTAATTAGAGAAAAATCGGTTTTCAGGACGAAGAAGGGAGTCCAACTCTTATCATAATGTATGATAATTAAAAATGTACTAGTTTAGTGATATATCTCATGTTGAGTATAAATTGAGCGGGATTGGAGTTGGCAGGGTACAAAATGGAAAACAGAATTCCTTTTGGGTGTAATCGGTAAATGTAATTTTACAACTATTCACGATTCACATGGAAAAATATTTAATGCATTTTTCATGGTCTGTGATTTCCTTAGAAATAAACTATCTTTCATCGCACGTGTCAAATTCCATATTTCTTAAATTTCCCTATGCTCGTTGCATTGTTATGATACATGTATTATTTTTCTTTTTAACTACCCCAGACCAATTTTGTTATGCTTACTGAATCTTTGCTTCACTTGAAGGGAAGAGCTCGCAAATCCCACAATTCCTACTCGAAGAAAACATGGAGCCCATACTTTGTACTCAACCAAGGAGATTTGCCGTTGTAGCTGTTGCCAGAATGGTAGCAAGGGCTCGTAATTGTGATGTAGGTGGAGAGGTTGGATACCACATTGGTCATTCCAAGGTCTTCTCATCCAGGTAGGATTATGATTAATGTATTTCCAGTGAATATCTTTTGCCCCTTCCAAATTTGCTCATAAACACGCACATCTTTGTCAAGATAAATATTCTAGGATATGTTATTAGTGGTATTGCTTATATATGGCCTATCACAATTTTATTTAGCCTGCTGATTATTATTTGATTAATTGACAACATTAAATATCTCCTGTCAGGTCCAAGATTGTCTTTAAAACGGCTGGGGTTTTGTTAGATGAAATGCGAGAGAAGGGACTGAAGGCACTGAAATACAAAGTTATTGTTCTTGACGAAGTCCATGAAAGATCTGTGGAGTCTGATCTTGTTCTTGTTTGCATAAAGCAGTTCTTACTTCGAAACAATGACTTAAGGTTTGCAACTTTTGACATAATCTTTGCACTTTTTGTATATCTGTACTTAGCAGTGTATGTAGTATGCAGCACGAGAACAGTGTATCCACTAGAAGCTCTAAACACATATATATTTTATAGGGTGGTTTTGATGTCTGCAACTGCCGATATTTCAAGATATCGCGAGTACTTCAAAGATCTTGGTAGGGGTGAAAGAGTAGAAGTGTTGGCAATCCCTAGCTCTGGGAAGAACACTATCTTTCAAAAGAAAGTGTCGTACCTTGAACAGGTATACATGCTAGCAGTACTAATAGGGTCATCTATCAGTGTATTTTTGTATCTCTCGCTAAGTTAAAAGGCCCATGATTATCAACTTGGTTCTGAAACACATCACACAAGCTGAAATATCAATTTTGACTCTCGGTTTTGCTATTTCATGTGATTGGAGGCATATAGTGTTTATTACATTTAGTTTTTGTTTCATAGGTGAGTGAGCTTCTCGGAATGAACTGTGATGATCTTTCTATGAAATACTGCGCTGGACCAAGCCCAGCAGTGTCTGAAGCTAATTTCAAGCCTGAAGTGCACAGGCTCATCCATGATTTGGTGATACACATTCACAAAAATGAACCCGATATTGAGAAGAGCATTTTGATCTTCCTCCCAACATATGCTGCATTGGAGCAGCAGTGGTTCTTCTTGAAGCCTTTCACTGCGAATTTCAAAGTTCACATTTTGCATCGGAGCATTGACACTGAACAAGCGCTCAGAGCGATGAAGATCTGGAGATCTCATCGTAAGGTAACACGTCACAACCACCTCTAGATTTTCTTCCTGCTTCATGTGCATATATACTAGATGATGTTGAGCAGATTAGCAATGTGAAAAGTTAAGCCGATCCCAAGATATTCTCAACATTAATATATCCATTTGCTATGTTTCGAATTTGATCTGTAGCATCATCATCTTCACTGTAGGTTATACTAGCCACAAACATTGCAGAATCTTCTGTGACAATACCAAAAGTAGGGTTTGTCATAGACTCATGCCGTTCTTTGCAAGTTTTCTGGGACAATAATCGGAAAACAGATGCAGCAGAGCTTGTTTGGGTTTCAAAATCGCAGGTATATATACCGAGTGATGGTTCATTTTCCATTCTTCTGTGGTGAGATTTGCTTCTTCTTATCTTTATAAGTGACAGGCTGAACAACGTAGAGGGAGAACTGGTCGGACTTGTGATGGTCATGTGTATCGGTTGGTAACTGGTTCATTCTATGGTCAACTGGAGGATTATGAGGCCCCATCAATACTGAGGTTGTCATTACGCCAGCAAGTACTTCTCATAAGCTGTGCCGAATCTAAAGCTATTAATGAACCAAAAGGTGATTTCATAATTGCCCTTTCACAATTTCGTTTTTGGAAGGATTTTTTTCCTTATACTGATTGTCCTTTTATTTTTCCTTCCTATTCCATTTTAGCATTATTACAGAAGACCATGGACCCTCCAAACCCTGATGTTGTTGAGGATGCACTAGATTTGCTGGTTCACATGCGCGCAATAAAGAAGGCATCTATGAGGGGTCATCACGAACCTACCTTTTATGGGCGTTTGTTGTCCAGTTTCACTCTATCATTTGATGCTTCTATTCTTATTCTCAAATTTGGCAACATTGGCATGCTACGTGAAGGCATTATATTCGGTATATTGATGGATCTACAGCCTCTACCCATTTTGCGTCCTTTTGGTCGGGAGAACCAGGTATTATCTCGTTTGCTTTTAAGTTCATACTTTTTTTTCTAAATATTTCAACTTTTACTGACTGCGAAATATAATATGTTTAGGCCATGGAGTACACCGATAATTATTATAATGGAGGCAGTAAGGTTACTGGGCTAGGTAGAAAGGAGGTCTTGTGCATGGCCAATTTCTGCGCATTTCAGTTTTGGCAACGTGCTTTCAAGGTATATTCCGTTCATTTTTTGTGCTTTACTAGGTACATGATAATTTGACATTAGCTTCTGCAACTACCTTAATCATGCTGTTATATAGGACAACTGCCGCCTTGCACGGCTCAAAGCCATCTTTAAACCTGATGAAGTTGAAGATACAGAAATCCTGCTTCCAAAGATTGAGGAAGAATGGTGCTCCTCTCACAATCTTGTTCTACCTGCCCTCCAACAGATTACTGAAACATGTATGATTTTTTTTTAAACTGTAATACATCTCATTTTCTTTCTTTTATTTATTTATTTTCCCTCTTTCTTTCTGCTTTATTCTTATCGTGTTATTTGCAGATGATGACATAATAAATTCTCTGCATCGGTTTCGGCCCAAGTTTCTGGTTATATCCAACAGTGTTCCGATTCATTACGATCCATACAACTTCCACCATGCATGTTATCTTAAGTGTGCGCAGAACGAGGAAGCTGATACTTCATATTTGAATTACGAAGAAGATGAGCATGATAATACATCAAAGGAATGCATTGCTGTACCCTTTGTTGGACCCTACGACTTTCACACAGATGAGGTGGCTAGAAAGTTTGCATCTATAGTGAAAGAGGTACCACACTTTGGTTTTCCTTGTCCAGTTTCTTCAGACAGAATGGTGATTACCTTTTTTACGGTTTTAATTTCAATGTAAAACAGATGAGAATCGACCTTACCGTGGATGTATCAAGAGAACATAATACATACACTTATGATCATAGAAATTACGTTGAATCGGGTGCACCGCTGTGTAGATATTTTGTTAATGGATTGTGCAACAGGGGTAGCCAGTGCCCGTTTTCTCATTCACTTCAAGCAAAAAAACCTCTTTGCAAATTCTATTTCTCCTTGCAGGTATCTCCTTAGAAGATTCTATTTCTTCACCCATTGATTAAATTATTATTGCTCCTCTGGTATAAAAAAAAAAGTTAATTTATTTGATCTATATGCAGGGATGCAGAAATGGAGATTCTTGTTTCTTTTCTCATGAATCCGATCCATCAGCTTTACGGGGAAACGAATCCAGTTTGTTTTCCCCAGAAGATGAAGAGACATATGCAGCACAATCTCTTCTGCAATTCTTCCCCGCTCCTTCATACGGACGTGTTCTATTACTGGATGATATAGATCTTCATTTTTCTTCGAACCTTGTTCATCAATATAACCCCTCCTCTATAATTTCGACGACTTCTCAAACAGATCGATTCACAGTTGATCCTTCACTTAGCGGCATAGAAATCCTGTGGGGCCTTAGCCACCCTTATCAAACAATCATTTCTGGCGAAGGAGACGATAGTGTCGTGCGATGGAATGAAGTCAAATGTGTGTTGTGGTTTCCTAGGTTTGGTCAGGACCGTGAATATGGGGAAGCACATCAGAAGAGTACGGTGCAAACTTTCTTCAAATATCTAGCCGTTCGGATTTTGTCTGATTCCCTGCGTGATGTGCAAGTAATCCTCACCATGAACAATTTAAGATTCTCGAAATTACAGGTATTACAAAACACTTCAACACTTTGAGTTCGGTGTCTCTTTTAAGATGAATTTTCGTCCTTATTTGTTTCAAATGTTTGTATCAGGTGGAAACGTTAGCCAGGGACAGCTTTTTCTTTCTTAAAGGATCGGTTCCATTTGACGAGTCAAGCTTCGGGAAGTTATCAGACGAACTAAGCACCAAAAAGCCAATGGTGGTATCGAAACCGATTTCGTATATTTTCTATCTGCATACCCCGGCGGGCTTCCAGTTTGGCGATTATATGGCGTCACTGAGCCAAGATTTAAATCGCGTTTTTATTGGTTGATACGCGTCTGAAGTTGCGAGTTGGTGTCCATAGTTGTGTATGTTAAGATCTCATTTAAATTATATAGGAAGTCAAAAATTAGTGAAATATCAGCCTTTTTTGTGCTTGGTTTGCCTGGGATTTTTGTATTTATCAAGGTGGTCAATCTCTGAAGCATTTTGAACTTGTCTAATGTACACATACTGATTTGTATTTGTGTTGTGTCATCAAACATATTTTAATTCTCAACTGGCAATTATGTCAGAGGAACTGCTTCAAGATTGACTTGTAAGAAAAAAGTCATCATTGTTTATGAATTATGATCCAAAATTACTAATTTGTATACAAGGATTCAGAGCCAAAAATTCATATTTATTATAACAATATATATATTTTTTTAAACTCCTCCTACCCTGAAATTAAAATTCTCAACTTTCAATTTAAATTAGTTTTTGAATTATTACGATGGCTTTGAAATTAATTTGGTATGAATAATAAATTGTTTTCACTATAAATTAATTATTTAATAAGAAATTACCAACAAATTAATTTAATTAATTATTAGTTAGTTTTACTCAAAATAAATAAATAATAATAATTAATTATTAGGTAGTTGTATCATATTCCAACCAAATTCCCTTTTCCCCTGCGGTCTTTCTACTCGACCTGTCTCTCTGAAGTGAAGACCCACCCCCACCCCACCCCCACCCCACCGGAAAATGTTCTTCATCTTCTATACATAGAGAAACAGGCGATCGGATATACGTTATACTTACAATTCAATCAATGTCACGCGGAACCCTAGATTCACTTCACGCCGTGGAATCGTGCGCCTTCCAGCTGATGAGCTGGAGACCCTTCGGCAAAAACCTCGATTCCGATTCCCCCAAACCCTATCACGGCCCCCACAGCAAGCGCCCCTGCCTCGCCGACCGCGCCACTTCCTCCTTCTCCATCGACATGTCCAAACTCAGCCTCTTCGATGACGATAGAGCCATCCCCCTCTCCGCCGCCCGTAAGCGGTGGTTCGAACGCAAGCGCCGCCGCCGCGGTGGGTCTAGGTCGGTGTCCGGCCGTAGCTCCGATCGCAGGGGTTGCTCCGTCGGAGCCTCCGCCGCGAATGGAACTTGTTCCGACTTTCCTATGGCGGCCGGGGGCACGGATTCGAGTGGGGAGCTGTTTGGGGACGCGAATTGGGCGTCCGATGTGAGTGATCGGAATTCGAGGAGAGAGAGGGAGGGGAGTTGTGCTGGTGAGAGGGAGCATGTGAATGCCGGGTATGTGCAGTTTGGGAATTGTGATGCTCAGGGGAATGAGTCCGGCTATGGAAGTGAGCCGGGGTACAGGGGCGATGCTGAATTTGGGTACGATGATGAAGAGGAGGACGATCCTCGGGTTTTGTTTTGGGGTGATGAATTTGGAGGTACTTCCTTCTCTGATTTTTATTTTTGATTGTTTTTTATCCTTCGCTTTTTTCGGTTTTGGATTGAATGTGATTGAATAGATTCATACGTCGGACGTATCATTTTTGTTGCACTATTTGTTTCAAAGCTAGTGTCTTCCGAGCATCGAATTTGATTTAAAAAAACTGAAATTTGGACTCTTGAATAGGTGTTTGGCTGGAACATGAGTTGATTCTTAAGATATTACTTCGGGCCTTGTTTGAACACTAACTAATGGAACTTATGACGGTCGATGCAAATAATTGAATTACGTGTTAGCCACAACAAAGTATTTAAAATGGCGAGAAGGCTTAGTATTTGAAAGGGAACTTTTTTCGATAGTTAGTAAAGCTTATTTTTCTATTGAAACACTTGGGATTTTGGTTAATGTACAGAAATCAAGAAACTTCGTTTGGAATAATTATATTTCTGTGGTCAAGATATGAACTTCTGATATCTAGATTTTTAGAGAACAATTTGCAAAATTGATTACAATGAAGCAGCTGATTGCATTTATCTATCTTTCAAGAAGCCGTGTGGAGTTCGTTGAAGTCTGAAATTGGTTCAGTTGATTTTAGTCATGCTTGTTGATGGTTATGACTTACGCGTGCGCTTTTATGAGTTTGGTCGTTTTTATATTAGTAATAAGGTCTCCATACAATCTTGTTGAATGTGGAACTGTTCATTTCTTATTGTAATGTGTAAAAAAAAATTATGTATGTAGGTTAATTCAACTAACTGATTTGCCTATGTTTGTTGAACCAGATAATGCTTCGAAATTGGAAAGAGTGGGTGAAAACTCTTTGCAGAAAGCTCACCATCGAGGCCGTCGAAAGAAACACGAGATGAGAATGATGGACAGTCAATCTTAGGTGGTGTAGTATGTGGGGTTTCTGAACTAATGTTGATTCTTTAATAAAACAGATTTCACCAGTTGAGATTTGAGAATGTATTTGTTTATAAATATGATATTTATTAGGTCCATCTATTTTGAATCTTGATCCAGTTTCTTTTACACATGTATTTATTCTATGGGCCAAAGCTTAATCGTAAATTTCTTTCATTTCTTTTTTATTTGCAGACTGAATTAGGTTTAGTTTGATATTAAAAAAAAAAAAAATTAAAAAAAAAATCAATAACTCAAAGTAAACATGACAAATTGACTATAGAAATATATTTTATGCTAAAAATAAATTAAATAACAAATTCTACAAGCTGCAGGGACAGTGGTACAAGTCACCAGCCTCGCAAGAGAATTGCTAACAACGTGGTGCTCTGGGAGAATGGGGATCGAAGCAATTAGGGCATACAGAGCGGTGCTCAGAGCAACACGTCAGACTTTTGCCGGCGACACCATTATGCTCCGGGAATCCGCCGCCGAAGCCCGGAAGAAATTCGAGGAGAACCGTCACGTGACCTCCCCTGCCGATCTCAGCCGCCATCTCGAGGAGGCGAATGAAGCCACCCGCTTCATCTCAACCATGATCGTTCAGGCCAAGCTCAACGATCGCGGAGGTTACGGTATGACTAATAAACCCTCTTCTCCCAACTTCAACCCAATTCCACCCCCCTTTTCCCTTTTCCTTTTTTCTTTTCTTCTTATGATGTAATTGTGCACGCCAGGTGTTTGTCAGAAGTTCTATTGGGCAAAACGTGGCCAAACACTACTTATCATGGCTTGTTATCTTCAAAAATGAACAAAATTTTGCACGACTGTTTTCTTCGAATCTGACTTGTCTAATTCACAAAAGATTAATCAACTGAATATCACCAAAAAATCATTGACGTATGTGCCCCCCCTTAAGGATGGATTTACTCTTTGGACATAGATTGTTCTTATCGTGTAATAACTAAGTTAGATTGTGTGAAGTACTGAAAAACGATGAAAATCCGGAGATACTTATATTTATGTCCAGTTGCATTAGAAATTGAAAAGTTCACCATCCATAAACCACAGTAGTTGTTATAGTTCTAGAGATAAAATGGCGAGGAAGGAACTCGTTTTATTCCTTTGTTGTTCTAAACTAGATCGATTCAATTGGTGTATGTTAAATCTTTCATCACTTGTGAACTGTTCTAGAAGTATCTACAAAATCATGAAAACATGTATCTAGATACTTGGTTCAGAACCTATGATCCCTCAATACAGAAGAAAAGCAATTAAGGGGGGAGAGAGTTTCACTTAGTTGAAGCATACCTTAATGTTTAAATGTCAGATACTATTTTGTTCTTCTTTCTGTTAACTCAATGTCCACTTGGAAGTTTTTATGGGTTTAACAATACTTATATTCACAGTGATTAGTTGGAATTATAAGCATGCCATCGCGTTATTGGATTCTGTTTGTCCCCGTTTGCATAAGTATGAATTATTTCAAGCCTTCGTATATTTATTCATTTATATATATGTTTATGCATTGTACTACTGCAGAAGTGAAGCCTGGAAAAGAGCATGTTGGGGCAACACTGGAAATTCCTTCGGAAGAGATTCTCAAGACATCCGCATAAAAGAAGCGAACGGGGAAACCATTATCATGGATTAGTACAATGATGGATCATTTGGTGAGAATGTCCGATTGTTCTTCATTTTATGCTTTCTTCTGAAGTCTATCAAAGAAAAAAAAAGAATATTGTTTTCTTTTTCGCTTACATCGACAGACACCCTCGTGTAACACACTTACTAATCTTTGCTATATTAGTCATTGAATAACAAGCCGAGTAGAACAGTGAGTTTATGGCTTTGAGTGATGTGTTTTGTGCTGTCTCCATTAACTACATACAGCAGTTTACAATGCATCGTACTTTACCTAGTTCCATACATGAAAAGAAGTCGAGAACTTCAAGATGGTTAGAATACTTCGTGTATGAAAACGATCACGTTTTTCAGATTTTATCATTCGACTTGTGTTATTGCATTTAGCCAGTTTGAAGTATATATAATGGCACACTTGTATATCATTTTGAAGTTTGTATTGGTTTTCGCAGTAAATGAATGGCCTTTTGAAAATCGAGTTTTTCCTTAACATTTTCACATTTATTTTATTTTATTTTACCAAATGTTTTCATGCTAGACTTCAAAATGCTGAAAATTACCTTAGCAAGAACTTGTGATTAGCATGTTATTGAGTTATATTTATATGTTGTACCCAGGAAAATCCCATCTCCCAAACTATAATACAAAATTCCTTGTGTTGATCAGCTTGTTAGTTATGTAAACAAGTTTCACAGAAAAATATTTTGCTCGATTCAATTCGATTATCAAAACGTTCGTCAATATGAAAATAAATGCATCGCGAAAAAAAAAACGGATCCACCAAAAAGAGTAAATGGACGTATCTGTATAAGGGAAGCAAGAACCCGAAAAAGAAAAAAGAAACATACTTGAAGAAGACGAGCAAATATAGACATTTGTGCTAAATATATCAACTCCAAAATTATAGAGTACATAAAACGAAAATTGCCGTTCAAAATGGCATGACTTAAAGAGAATCGTTGCAGTATTGAGTTTAAAATAAAATGAAAGCAGCACAAATTACTAAAATAAATTGATGATATATTACCAAAGCTACTCTTCTTCTTCATCATCTTCTTCTTCTTCATCACCTTCTTCTTCTCCGTCATCTTCTTCCTCAAGTTGCTCCTCCTCGGTTTTCTGGTCCGTGTTTGATACACCACTTCCTGAAATGGAAGTAACAAGACAATATATGATAAATGAAGTTGACTTAACTGGAAACAAAGCAGCTAAAATGGCTAGGATACGACATTACAAATTCTTCATCACTGGTTTAACAGAACAAAAAAGAGTAGAAAACAATATCTAGGAAAAAAAATATCTCGTAAGTTTAACCTACGAGATATGTTTTTCCAAACCCACAGTGTAGGTTAGTTTTCCGAAACATGGAATATGAACAGAATGATTAACAATTAAACAGAATAATAAATAATTACCAAATTCACTGAATATGACTGGACCAGCACACAATCCTTCCTCAATTTTGATGAGGTGAAGAGTCATCCTAGGCCCAATCTCTTGAAGCTTGATAGCGCTCTATTTGATGCCTTATTTACTCTTCCAATATCCGTTGGTATCTTACAGTCGCTGCTTCATCATCCACTTCACTTTCTGATCCATAACCAGCCCTTTTCAG